TCTACTGTATATTGTAAAAGAATACATCAACACATAATTTCGAATTTTAAAAATCTCTACTTCTTTTTTGCTCCATTTTAAATTATTTTTGTTTTTAAGTTTTTGTAGAAAAACTCCAGTTTCATGGTGTTACAGTTTTTGACCTTTCAGACAATAAAAACAAATTTGTTAACAAACATTATATTTTGCAACTGTCATAAAATTAATACAGATTCTTTTATCATAAGAATCTATTTCTACTAAACCAGGGATGCACAACCTTTTCTGAAGAAGGGCCAAATTAGGATTAAGTTTACTGACTGGGGGCAGGACCTCCAAGTGATTAATGCGATGGCTGAGATTGGATGCTGGCGGCAATCTTCTTGATGTCTAGCGTAATGGCAGATGTTGAAACAACCAGCAGATTTTCCAAATTCTCGTTGGTTAACCTGTTCCGTGTTTTGCACTTGTTTAAATTCATAAGCAAAAACACTTGTTTGCATAAATACCATGTTTCTCCGAAAATAAGACCTAGCAGAGGTTTTGCTGAATTGCTAAATATAAGGCCTCCCACCAAAAGTAAGACCTAATAAAGTTTTTTTTTTTACTCGTAACAGTCATCGACAGCAGGTTGAAAGTGGCCGTTGGCTTTTTGAAAGTACAGCCACTGATTGGTCAGCAGACAACATGCCACACGGCATGATTTACATAAGACTATGGCTTGGAATCACAGATTTGCATAATGTTATGGCTGGTGATCACTAATTGGTCGGCCGGGAATCACGCCACATCATATTTGCATAGTGTTATGGTTCAGTAAGCAGTAATTGGTCATCGAGCCCGATGTAGACGCTATAAAAAGGTTAAGTTGAAGCAAGAGTGGGAAGTCCACTCCAACGGAACTTTGTAAGTTCACTTCGGTTTTATTTAAGTTCAGTTCAACATGACCGGATATACGTCACTCTCGTCTAAGTTCGACTTGGGAATTTTTTTGTTCAATAGTAAATGTGAATTCTTCATGGAAAAATAAGACATCCCCTGAAAATAAGACCTAGTGCATCTTTCAGAGCAAAAATTAATATAAGATAGTGTTTTATTTTCGGGGAAACACGGAAGGTACTGCCAAACATGCTTGCACAAAATCGAGCATTGTCTTTCAGTTTTGGAAATGATGTATCAGGCAGTTCTTTGTAGAATGTGAGGAGATTAGAATTTTTAAACTGTGATTTCAATTCATCACTGCACTGGATGTTTATCAACTCAAGTTGGACATCTGGAGGGGTATCTTCCACTTTCACATCAAATGGAGTTGAAAAAAGTTGCAGGTAGATCTTGTATTTCTGGAATTCACCAAACCTCTCATTGAATGATGTAAGGAGGGTGTTAACTTGGTCAGAGTAATCCATCTTCATATGTGGGTATTTCTCTTTCATGGCCTTGCAATGTGGAAAGTGTGTAAAGTTCTCTGATTGCATGTGAGACTTGAAAAGTGATAGTTTGGTCATAAATGCATTGATGTTACTTGTCAACTGAGAAACAAGTTGCATCTTTCCCTGCAATCTCAAATTAAGGTCGTTTAGATAAGCAGTAATGTCAGCAAGGAAAGCTAAATCACACTGCCATCTTTGTCCCTCCAAATTCCTTGTAGTGTTCCCCCGTTCTTTGAGGAAAGTGATAATAGGCCCCAATAGCTCCACAAATCTCTTGAGGACTGTTGCCTTGCTCAGCCAACGAACTTCAGTATACGTGGGCAGGTCAGCATAATCAGCATCTATTTCTTCAAGAAATGATGTGAAGAGTCGATGGTTGAGTCCATGACGGCGGATTAAGTTCACAGTATCATAGACATCTTTCAGCAGACGTTCAAATCCCAGCTTCTTTGCACAAAGTTGCTGTTGGTGAATTATGCAATGATACTGGACTAACTCCTTTTGCCTGTCCCCAAGGTGGTTTTTCAGCAAGGTGACCATGCCATTCTCACATCCAACCATAGATGGTGCTCCATCAGTGGCAATGCTGGATAGCTTGTCAAAGTCCAGTGCTGATTTGTTGCAAACGCTCAATAAACCAGTAAGTAAGTCAGCACCAGTTGTATGTCCGGAAAGTGATGCCATGCCAAGAAATTCTTCATTCACAATAAAATCTAGTGAAACACTTCTAATAAACACAATCACTTGTGCTGTTGATGATATGTCAGTGGATTCGTCCACAGCCAAAGAAAAATAAGCACAGTTTGCAACTAAAATATTAAGTTGGCCAGAAATGTCTGATGCAATTTGCGAGATTGTTTGAAAACACTGTCTTCTCAGGACACATCTCACTTGCGATGATAAGACACTTTTTTATCATATCGCCATCTGTGAAAGGTTTCCCATTCTTGGCTATTAAAGCAGATATTTCTAGGCTGGCTTCAACAGCCGCATCCAATTCTCCNAAAATATTCGATATCTAAAGCAGAAAGTGTTAGCTAAAAATAGACTTATTTATAGAACAATCCCCCATTTCTCACCTCAGGGAAAGTCATAAAACAGTTGGGTGCTAATGACTTTGTGAAAGGGAAAAAGTTCTAAACTTAGAAACTTCGAAAGAAGGGATTTGGCCTGTACCGTCCGCGGGCTGCATAAACATTGATAGGGGGCCGTATGTGGCCCGCGGGCCGCAGGTTGTGCACCCCTGCCTTAAACATTGCTAAATTAGAGGCCAAAGAGGCAATATTTAATTTAAAGTGTCTTTCACAGAACAAAAACTTGGTAAACTCAAGTATGTTTAGGTTATATGTTTCTTTTGTTTTATATATTTCTAAATCTAAAGCTGACATCAGTATTGTGAAGTTGGAGTTGCTGGAGTCTGATATTTTTAGGTAGAGTTGATAAAATTCTTTTGATTGGTGACTCTGACCTCAAAATTTACTATTGGTAAAATGTGAAGTAAGAAAAATACTTTTTAATTAATTAGTATCTAAAGAAATTTCTTAGAAAATGGACACTTTGATAAATTATATATCAAAATGATATTATTTTGATATATAATTTATATATCAAAATAATATTTGAGGTGTAATTTCTTATTTACAAAAACATATTAACCCATAAAGGCCATTTCATAGCAAAACGTTATGTGTATCTCATTGCAACCTGCTCTATACTTTCAGAAAATAGCTTTTATTAATTTAAGGCACACCAGTAGGCAAGTAGATAAAATCACTGACCGCTTGCAGTAGTAGTGTGATCATGCTTGGAAAATAAATGCATTTTGAAGTACAGTGGGTGAATGGTTAACGAACATAATCCATTCCAAGACTTTGTTTGCTATCCAAATTGTTCATTAGCCGATTATTGATTTACCATAGGTTTCTATGGGAATTTGATTAATTCCTTCTGGAGACCCCAAAAAAATAAAAAATATATACTTTCTTACTACGTTTATTCATATGTAATAATAAAAATACAGTAGAGCCTCGATTAACCGACACCTCAGTTACCGACCGTCCTAGTCGGCAAATTACAAATGTCCGCTAGTGATGAGGCGCTACAATATTTGGCTATGTCTTGGCTACTTTAATATTATTTTTACGTGTTTTAGCTGGCAACACTCATTCGACCATGAAAGGGAGCCAGTATTTAAACAAGGCTTAATTTTCTAATTTTTAACAATACAATAGCGACAATTATTATTTAAAAAAATTTTTGTTAGGCTTAACATCGATGAAAATTCAACGCGAAATAGATTAATAGCGATATACTAATATCTAATTACATGAGATATAATAATATACTACACTAATAATGGATTTTTTCATACTTTTTGGTTATCTGACTTTTCAATTATCCGACCAACCCCAGTCCCCAATTGGGTTGGATAATCGAGGCTCTACTGTACATATATACACGGTCTTGCATTTTATTAGTCATGTTTTTTCCGTTTGTGGAGGTTAAAAAATCTGTCCAGTGTCGATTGCTTTTCTGTCTTCTTCATGATTTTTCAGAAGTAATTAATAGCATTGTAATTGTAGAGATCCCTGGGCCTATTAACCACAACCTGGTTTGGGTGACATTTTAAGACCATTGTTCTGACATCCACTTTTTCAAAAGATCTTTAATAGCAGATATCGGCATAAATCTAGCCATGTTTAAGGTTATATGACAGAAGAAAACGTAAAAGAATTGTTTCTGTCAGAAATATAAAAGGCTGGAATTACAAGGCAGAGTTTCAAAGTTTGGGGGAACACTATCCGATCAGTATATACTGGGTAGAACATTGATGTCGACGTCTGCACTCCGAAAAGTTTCGAATTGTTTCCTGAAGACAAAGGAAGACCAATCGGTATTTGTTATTTTACGTCTCTTCTTGTTTGTTCAGAGAAGTGTTTGTTATCCGAACATGTGTTTGTTGTCTGATCATAAAAATCTTTCACAAAAGTGTTCATTATCTGATTTGTTCATTAACCAATCACCCACTGTAATAAGCTTATCTTTACCAAAGATAACCTCCCAAGAAAAAATTTAATTTTCATTTCAGGTGCAAGAGAAAAACAATGAAAAAAGTAAAATTAAGATCAGAATCTAACTGCAACAAACTAAAAGATGAAGAAAAAACTACAAAATGTAATTAATAGGATTGTTTCACTTAGTTATTTTTCACTGGTTCTTGGGGCACGATTGCACTTGTCAGTTCAAGATGATTGATTTTTTTCCCCCAAATTTCATATCTTAAAATTTTACTGTATACTTCAGTTTAGTCAACCATCGGTAGGAAATTAAACAATTCTGTTGTAGCCAGAGTGGGAGAAACTTTTACAGACCAATTTATTACATCATTCATCAAATCATTATTTTTTTGCATTTATTGTATTTAATTTTTTTTCTTGAAAATAATTAAATTTAAATCAACTTTTCATTATTAACTAATAAAAGTAGAATTCTTTTGGCTATTAATATGTAGTATGTTTCTTTATGTACTCAAAAGTTTTTCTGAGGTAAATTTGTTATATTTATTTTTTGATTCTTGTCATCAATTTTAGCTCGACTTTTTATACAGACATTTTAGATTAAAATATTCAAGTACCAGTGGTGTCTTTCTTATAAAAGGAGTCACAGTGTGACATTTTAAAAAAACACTAAGGTTGGAGTCAGAGTTGTACATTACAAATTTGCTGGAGGCTGAGTCAGGCTTTTTGTTTACCAACTTCACCACACTGGCTGACATATATACTTATTAAGGATATCAGAACAATTCATTAATCTAGACATTTTTAGCCTTTACTAGGTCATCCTCAGCTACCAAAAAATATAATACATTTGAATCCTAGAATAGAATAACATGAATAGATTTTTAAAATTAACCAGTCATAAAGCATAATTTATCAGTTGTTATGATACACCATTAAAATGATTAATAAAATGTAACATTAACTGTTTTTTAGTGTTATTTGGCTATATATTAATTGAAAGAGTTTCAGTTTGTTTGACTTAGTTAACTTTTAGAATTAATTTCTGTTTTTGTTTTATTACTACTTCAGGATGAGACCAAAACATGTTTCTAACTGTCCAATTCATTACTTTATGCTGATTTAAGACTTTCTCAACAAATCTATCAAATAAAAGAAGAATGAATTTGAACATAACAACTATTGGTAGGTTAAAAGTTTTATAACAGCCAATGAGATTGCTATGTGACAGGTCTATAGTATTTTTACTGTTAATCTGAAATTCTGCCAGTTGAAGTTAGTTGGCCTTTGGAATGATAAATTGCCACACTGGGACCCAGATACAAAATTGAAAGAAGCCATTGGGGGAGAGGAGCCTCACGATACCATAGAACAGATAGACACAAATCACCTACAAACAGCCTGGAAAACATTTGTTGTACTGATGATTGTGGTGTAAAATGCTAAATTTTAAATAAGCTCAATGTATTTTAATTGAATAAAACTGTTGATTTTTTGACAGGTTTATGCTAGTCTTGAAAATGGACAGCGCATGTATTTTACAATGGAAAATGTACATGCAAGAGCATTATCGCCACCAAAAACAATGTTAACTGCATTCTTCTCATTGTGCACGGATGATTTGTTTGCAAAAACGCTACTTTACTCAGAAGTGCCAAAATACTACACATGGAATGCATCAGCGAAAAAGTTTCAACGTCGTAAACAGGGGAAACCAGTTGAAGGACATCCGAATTTATATTCGTCCGACATGTTAGGCCGTCTTTATGCAGTTCATCCAAACAATCAAGAATGTTTTTACTTGCGATTACTGTTACTCAACGTACGTGGACCAAAATCCTTCCAAGAACTGAGAAGAGTGAATGGTGAAGTATGTGCGACCTATCGAGAAGCTTGCCAAGAATTAAATCTTCTTGAAAACGATGCACAGTGGGACACAACACTCGCTGATGCATCGAATACTGCTCAACCACAGCAAATATGCACGTTATTTGCGATAATATTGACGACGTGTTTCCCATCCAATCCGAAAGATCTTTGGGAAAAATACAAAGATTACATGAGTGAAGACATCCTACGTCGTTTGCAAGCAACGAATCAGAATCCAGACATGCAATTCACACCACACGTGTATAATGAGGCGTTTGTTTCGATCGAGGATATATGTTTGACAATCGTTAACAAAGGATTGGGGCAGTTGGGAATGTGTGCACCGAATCCATCTGCAAATGACGCATATGATCGTGATTTGCAACGTGAAACACACTTCAATGTCGATGATTTGGGTACATTTCTTGAAACGAATCTTCCAAAATTGGTTTCAGAACAACGCATTGTATATGACACAATAATGCAAGCAATTACAAATCAAAGGGGTGAATTGTACTTCATAGATGCATCCGGAGGTACAGGCAAAACTTTTCTCATTTCACTAATTTTGGCAACCGTTCGATCACGGAATAAAATTGCACTGGCAATTGCATCATATGGAATTGCGGCAACACTTTTGGATGGTGGTCGAACAGCGCATTCAGCACTGAAATTGCCATTGAATTTGCAAACCACTGAGACGCCAACATGCAATATCACCAAAAATTCCGGAATGGGCAAAGTTCTCCAAACATGTAAACTTATCATATGGGACGAATGCACAATGGCTCACAAAAAAGCATTGGAAGCGCTTGATCGTACACTGAAAGATTTGAGGGGAAATGAACAGCCCTTCAGTGGAGCACTCATTTTATTGTCTGGTGATTTTCGACAAACTCTGCCAGTTAACCACGTTTAACACCTGCTGATGAACTTAATGCATGTCTGAAATCATCAGTTCTATGGTGACATGTAAAGAAATTGACTTTGAAAACCAATATGCGTGTTGAATTACAAAATGATGTATCCGCTGAACGTTTCACAAAACAATTGCTGGATATTGGGAATGGGAAGATGGCAATAGACAGATCTACACAATGTATCACATTGCCAACAAATTTTTGTAAGATGACATCAACCAAAGGTGAATTGATTCAAAAGGTTTTCCCAAATATCGTGCGGAATTACAAAAATCATCAGTGGCTCAGTGCACGTGCTATATTAGCAGCTAAGAACAAAGATGTCAATGACATCAATTTCAGCATTCAAAACAGAATACCAGGCTAAGCAACAACGTATAAGTCCATCGATACTGTTATGAATCAAGACGAAGTTGTCAGTTACCCAACGGAATTCTTGAATTCACTAGATTTGCAAGAAATGCCACCACACATTTTAACATTGAAAACTGGCATGCCTATCATTCTTCTCCGTAACATCAATCCACCACGATTTTGCAACGGTACAAGACTTTTGGTGATAAAGATGATGATCAAAGCTACAATTTTGAATGGGAAATTCAAGGGGGAAAATGTACTGTTGCCACGTGTTCCAATGATCCCAACAGATATGCCATTCGAATTCAAACGTTTGCAGTTTGAATTCTTTCAAACTGCAAACGTTTGAAAGAATTCAAATAATGTGGTACTTATTAAAGCGGATAAGTCTAAAGGATCTTATTAAACGGGACTCCTACAACAAAAAATTGCAGGATTACATCGGAAGCACCAAATGTCAGCATGTTCCCGACAAGTTTTTAGAATCGCTACAAAAAATTATTTCAATCCTAGGAATTTTAAACATGCGGCATTTCGTGCATGGATCAAGCGTGCATACGCACATTGTACCAGTGTTTATGATACATATAAGGAATTAAATTACATTCGTACAACAGCTTTGCAGCATGGTTATCGGACAAGAGAAATTGAAGGGCTTATTAATAAGTTTCAGAAACCAACAAAACAACAACTTCTGAATAAGAATGAAAAAAGAAAAGTAGTCCTTAATTATTTTCCTTTCTTGCACACATTGATGAAAAAAGTGGCCAACAACAATAAAATAAGAATGCTATATCGGCATAATCCTACGATATATAGATTATTAAGAAACGACAAGAAAAAAAGAAAACCAGAATACTAGAACGGGAGTGTATGCTATACCGTTAAGGGATCGTCGATTTAACTCTGATCTATTATACGTTGGTGCAACTATGCGACATTTAATGCAGAGAATTAAAGAACATAAATACTCAATCACTAAGAGCTTGGATAGCACTGTACTTGCGGCTTTCGCTAAACAACAGGAAGTCAACGTGCATTGGGACAAGGCCTCTATCATCAGGGCCACGAACAACAAGCAGGCCCTGAAGTATCTTGAGAAGCTGGAAATATACAAAGCCCACATTAACACGGGCTGTATTAACCACAGGGATGCGGATGGTTTATCCACCGCATGGAAATCATTTTACCATATCACATAATGGTAATCTTCTAATAGGCATTATTGCGGCAAAAAATTTGATTATGTTTATTTTTATTTTATTTTATAACAACTGAACTTCCTATCAAATACTGGAGGTAATATACTTCCTTCTACCTGTATAAAAACCTTCCAAATCTCCAGTGATACTCGTTTAAGCAAACGTTTTTGACCCTACCAGGGTCTTCATCAGGCCACCATTATAAAAATTCAAACAGTGTGAAATCGAACAGGAACCAAATAGATGCGATTCAAATCTTCGAACGTCAACGTTAATATCAAAAATAGAACACCACGCTCTTGTAGTGATGTCGTCAAAGCACGCGCAACTTGCGCTTGCAATAAAACCACATTACACCTAATTATGTGTGGGGTGTTCCTTCATAGCAAAACTTCCATGCACTAGAGATGTTGACTGCGTCTCTGGAGTTAATACATGTATTGTTTAATCCCGCTTTATAAATTTCTAAGGTCTCCATAATTCTTAGTTGGTCAGTACGGTGTGATAGCCTAACTAGACTGGCATTCTGCAGATCCACCGTAATTCCAGGTTCCGTGGCTACTGTTGAAAGGGTGGTGGAGTGTTTATTGTTATCAATATCATACTTATGCTCCTTAAGACGTTTGCGAAGGGAGCGTTTGGTTGAGCCCACATATACTAACTTATTATTAAATCTGTCATCCCAAAGGGGTATAGAATACACCCCCGGTGCGTCTTTCAAGTCAATCCCATCTTTCCCGTTTTGGAGTAAGCTGTAAATGGATCTTGGCCTACTGTACGTTATTTTGTTATTAGTGCGGGAAGAGATTTCTCTGTATAATGTGTCAAGCTGGTGGTTGTACTCTACTATTTTTCTTTTACGGTTGCCGTTAAGCGGAAGTACTGGGATATCAGGAGTATTGCGCGTGTTCTTCCGCATATATGCCTGTGCATTATTATATACCAAGTTCTTACTGTATCCATGCCGTGTGGCTGTTTCCTGGATATGCTCCAGCTCAGCTATGGTATCTTCCCATTCAGAATGGTGGGTGAAGGCTCTCTTAGTCAATGTCCAAAATGCTGCTATCTTATATTAATACGAGTAAGGATCCTCCGAGTTAGCTGGGATGAACATTGGTACATAGCACTTTTTGTAAAAAACTTTGAACGAAATCCCATTACTTATTAATTGAATATCCACATCAAGAAAGTGTGCGGCCCTATTGCTTTTTTGGTCAAGCTTAATGTTTAGGCCATACGGGTTGTTGTTCATTTTACTTATGAAATGGTTGACGTTAGGCTCTGTTCTCCATATGATAATGACATTATCAACATATCTCCTGTACAGGAGTATGTTAGAATCGTAAAGAGGTATGATTTGTTGCTCCAGTTTCCTTATAACCAGCTCACATAGATCCCCCGAAAGAGGGCTCCCATTGGGACACCCCGTTTTTGGAGGTACGTTTTGTCGTTAAAACGGAAGAAGGATGAGTAACACAATATGTGCGCTAGTTCTAAAATGTGTTTTCGATGAGCCAAGGTGCCTGGGTATGTGAGCAATAAATCCCTTAACTCGCAGAAGCACGGTTGGATATTAATGGAGGACAGAACTTCCGCTTGACAGCAACCGTAAAAGAAAAATAGTAGAGTACAACCACCAGCTTGACACATTATACAGAGAAATCTCTTCCCACACTAATAACAAAATAACGTACAGTAGGCCAAGATCCATTTACAGCTTACTCCAAAACGGGAAAGATGGGATTGACTTGAAAGACGCACCGGGGGTGTATTCTATACCCCTTTGGGATGACAGATTTAATAATAAGTTAGTATATGTGGGCTCAACCAAACGCTCCCTTCGCAAACGTCTTAAGGAGCATAAGTATGATATTGATAACAATAAACACTCCACCACCCTTTCAACAGTAGCCACGGAACCTGGAATTACGGTGGATCTGCAGAATGCCAGTCTAGTTAGGCTATCACACCGTACTGACCAACTAAGAATTATGGAGACCTTAGAAATTTATAAAGCGGGATTAAACAATACATGTATTAACTCCAGAGACGCAGTCAACATCTCTAGTGCATGGAAGTTTTGCTATGAAGGAACACCCCACACATAATTAGGTGTAATGTGGTTTTATTGCAAGCGCAAGTTGCGCGTGCTTTGACGACATCGCTACAAGAGCATGGTGTTCTATTTTTGATATTAACGTTGACATTCGAAGATTTGAATCGCATCTATTTGGTTCCTGTTCGATTTCACACTGTTTGAATTTTTATAATGGTGGCCTGATGAAGACCCTGGTAGGGTCGAAAACGTTTGCTTAAACGAGTATCATTGGAGATTTGGAAGGTTTTTATACAGGTAGAAGGAAGTATTTTATTTTATTCCTATACGAAGCATATGTGCAATTTATGTACGTTTTTACCATGCGACTGCGTTTTACGTTGGAATTTGAGTTTTTAAAAGCTTGTATTCTATTTTTAGCATTCTTTTAGTTTGAAATAGTTTAACTGATGAAGGCTGTTTAAAACAGTCGAAAACGTTATTATTCTTATTAAATATTGCTGGGATTAATAAGGTGTTGTGTTTGTTAGTTCTGTAATACGTTTTTTAAACGCAAAGAATGTTAAGCCAGTTGAAATTCATCATCAACTTGTAGAGATTTATAGTGAAAGTGTAATGAGTGATGGAATGATGAGAAAGTGGGTTCGACAGTTCAATGCTGGACGCACCAATGTTCATGACGAAGTACAGAATGGCCGGCCTTCTGTTGTCAATGATGGTTTGGTTGCAAAAGTGAATGAGAAAATTCTTGAAAACAGATGGTTCACAATAAGATTGCTTTGTGAAGAGTTTCCACAAATTTCAAAAACTGTTTTGCACGAGATTGTCACAAATTGCTTAAATTCTCGCAAATCGTGTTCTCGTTGGGTTCCCAAAATGCTTACGGATGTCCACAAAACAAAGTGACTTGGAAGTGCTTTGACATTTCTTACCCGATACAGTGAAGAGGGTAATTATTTCCTAAACAAAATTGTTACCGGTGATGAAACTTGGGTTTGTCATGTCACTTCAGAATCAAAACAACAGTCAATGGAGTAGAGGCACTCGTGGTCCCCCACAAGACAAATTCAAAACAACGTTGTCAGAACGAAAAATCATGTGCACTGTGCATTCTGCTTGTTGAGTTCCTTCCCAGAGGTGAAACCATCAATGTGGAACGATACTGTGAAACATTGCAAAAACTTTGCTGTGCAGTTCAAAACAAACTCAAAACCTTATTCAACAGTTTGGTTGGGAGCAGTTCGATCACCTGCTGTACAGACAGCCCCGACCTCGCACCTGCAGACAACCATTTGTTCTTGAACTTGAAACGTGATTTTGGAAGGAGGCGCATTGCCAGCGATGAACACACAACAACTAATGTTCAGCAGTGGCTGTTTCACTGGCGCCATCTTTCTTTGAAGAGGGTATAGACAAGTTGGTTTCCCAATATGACAAATGTCTGAACAATGGTGGTAACTATGTAGAAAAATAGTTTTCGACATTTTCTTTCGTGTAAAAATAATTTTATTTTGAAAAAAGATTTTTTATGCAAGTTTTTCCAAAACGGTACTTACTTTCCGGACATGCCTTGTGTAATGATTTCATCTGATTTTGATCTAAGCAGTTGCATTATGCAAATATTATTTATTTATGTTCTTTCTGATGTGGGTTAATTTAGCATCTCATTCTTACTGTTGTTAAGTTCTGACAATGGATTAATAATCCAAAAGTGCTTTGCTTTCTAAAAAGTTTATAGTCTGAGAAAAGCAGATTAAGTTGTATTTAGATTTGAAGAGCTTTATTAAAAGTGTATTGTTTTGATTTTATTCCTATATTTTTAGTTTTCAGAGATGGCTGGAGTCCCTATATTTATGATTGGCAGGATTCATTTTATCTCCCTAAGACCTTGTCTTAAAGTAATACATAATTAAACTGATGAAGAATAGATACAAAAAAAAAAAAATACTTGTTTATATAATATAATGTGGAAGTAAATACTGATTGTTTCTAATGATATAAATTATTATGTACATTGCTTAGAAGAAAGTAAGTTTGTCTAATAACTTGAAGATCAATACACCACTAACATGCTATTTTCACATGATTTATAAATTTTTAAATGATTTGAATATTTTTGTCAAGTGATATCTGATAATTTATTATTTGCTTGAAAGAGTAAATATCATTTACAATATTATATATTCATCATTCCTTCAAATACAGTAGAACCTCAATTATCCAGACTAATTGGGGATGAAAGTAGTCTGGATAAGGAAAAATTTGGATAATCGAAACAAATACTTTAATTTGTCTTTTAATGATAATATAGCTTGTTTTCTTTTCGATGACATATCGGTAATATTAAAAATAAATACTGTATTTAAATCATGATCAAATTTTCAAGAAACAAATGTTTGTATTGAGTTTGGACTACTACTGACCAGCGCTAACAGACTCCACGTTTCTTTATGCAGTGCTCGAGAAGCGCTTTACAGTGAACACACTGAAACTGGTTTCTAATTGGCCAACACTGCTTGTGACATCATTTCGCTACACTCTCACTGCATAAAGAAACGCGGGGAGACTACCTATTGTTTAAAAGGCTCTCTGGTGGCGCAAGAAGACAGATTTTATAAAATAAAAAGCAGTTGAAACTGCATTTTTATGAATAAAAATTTGACAAACTATTTATCATTTTATGATGAGTAAAATTTTTTCGTCGCATATGCGGCTTTTAAGTAATGCATAAACCTTCGAGGTGCAAGGCCCTTCGGATCGCGAGGCATATGTGGTGGCTCGCGTCGCCCATGCCTTATGCCGCCCTTGGTCATAGAAATGATGTAATTTGAATATAAATTATTTATAAATAAGTATGTCAAGTTATTTTTATTACAACGTAAAATATATTTAAGAGTTTACAACCACTGTGCTGGGCGAGACGTTGAAACAAAAAAGTTATGCATTCCATCACGTACATAAACAGTGTCATAATTTGCCAGGTGCAAATCAGCAAATTCGTAAAATTTTTGTTTATTTTGAGCAATCCGGATAATTGAGGTTCTACTGTATTTCCATAAAATAGTTCTGAAAATAACATTATTTATTTTCATTTCTTTGTGTGTATGTAAATATATAAATTTTTTTAAAACAATATAATGAATTATTACTAATATTAGAGATAGCAATTATTTAATTATAAGCTCAGTAGTGTAGTGGTTGCACCTCGTTAAGTCGAGAGCCCAGGTTCAAATCCTGGCTGAGTTTTGAAAATGTTCCAGTATTGCTATCTCTAAAGAATAAAAAAGTTTTTTAATTATAAAAATTAATAAAATTCTATTAAAACAATAATAAATTTATAAGAATTTTCAGAACTAATTAAGAAAATTATCTAAGATAAAAAGAATGTTCATTATAACAGCAACTAATACTTCAAAAACTGTATAAATAAGTAGCTTAGTGTACTTTTCTGTGGCAATGTAGTTCACATCAGAAGTCAAGACCAAGTATGCCAAAAAAACCTGAAAGTGTTGGCTGACACAAATCATCCAAGATTTTCTCCAATTAGCCAAACATGTGACATTTTTGTGTGTACCAAGATTAACAATAGTCTGGTAACCAAGTTACTGTCACACTTCAGCCTCAGTTTACACTACAAGCTTACAAATTGGGAGTGCACTGTATTTTAATCACCTAACAGTCAGAACATTTCTCTTTTGAATCCTTAAACAATAACTTACCCTTGCAATCAAAGTGTACCCTTGGATAAAATGTACTTTTTGACTACCTGAACTCACTGCCCCAAGTGGTCTGAATTGAGTTTGATGGACAAATTCCATGAATTTCTCTTTCTGCAAGAGATTAATAGGAAAATTCAATGAATTATATTTTTGTCCTTGAATTTGTACAAACTTTCTTGAGAGACACAAAGACAACCATAACAAATTCTAGTAAATAATAAAAATTGCTCAGAATATAATAATTGGTTGAACCAAAAGTTCATTCAGTTTTTAGAAAGAAATAAAATATACTATTCTGAAATAAAAATTTTTAATCCATTATATATTCACCCTTCTGTTTGATAACCTTACACCACTGACGGATAGTTTCATAATTCCATCTGTGTAAACTTGGATGGGTTTCTGATTGAAGAAATTATCAATGTGATTTTTGATACCTTCTAAGGATTCAAATTCTATGCCATTTAAATTATTCTGCAATGAATGAAAAAGATGTTAATCTGAGGGAGTAATATCTGGAGAATATGCAGGGTGACTCAAAACATCCCAGTTAAAGTCTAGAAGTTTTTGGCAGATGTTAAATGGTATGTGTGGTCTTGCATTATCATGATGGAATACCACTCCCTGTTGACTTGCAAGTTACAGACGTTTTTGATGCACTACAGCCTTTAGTTCATCCAGTTGGAGACAATATTTATTGGAATTAATTGTTTGATTGTTGGGTAAAAGCTCTTAATAAAGAACCCCTTTAGTCCCACCAAACTGAAATCATTACTTTTATGGGATGCAAACCAGCTTTAGATTGCGGCACTGGAGGATCACTTGGCTTACTCCAAGATCTCTTGTGTTGAATATTGTTGTAAACAGTCCATTTTTCATCACTTGTTATTAATTGCTTTACAAAGGGATCGTCTTCATTGCATTTTAAAAGTGAATCACATACAGAAACATAAGGTTTCATTCACTTAATTGATGGGGAACCCAAACATCATAACAGGAAGTGTATCCAAGGTTAGCCAAATGTCTGACAACAGATGTTTGGGATATTTTTAAGATGTCAGCTATCTCTCATGTTGTTTTATGCTGATCATTTTGAATTAAAGTCGTTACAGACTCCAAACACTCCTATGGTTGAAGGCCATCCTGACCAAGGTGCATCTTTGAGAGAAAAAACTCCCTCCCTGAAATTTGAAAATCATTTCTGGCATGTTTGATCAGTAACTACATTCTCCCTATATACAGCACGTATTTTTTTTTGAGTTTTTGTCACATTTTTTCCTTTTTGGAAATAATAAATCGAGATGTCGAAAATGCACCCTCTTATCTTCCATTTTAATGTTTTTTTCTTAAAAGATAACAAAATTTTAAAAAATAGTTGAAATTAAACTTACGTAATAAATATGCAAATATTCGTAATGTCAACCTAAACAAGTTAAAACTTGATAAGCATGACAGAGGCGCCACAGACGAGTGATTATGTAAATACTTGAACAAACTTTCGGTTCAATTCAATACATTATAATATAATGTAGTATTATTATTACACAATATATTACATAATAATTAACATATAACTCTACAGATAAAATTAAACAAAAATAATGCTTTAATGGAGGAATATAAATCAAAAGTGCTTCAATGCTTGTTATTTCTAGCTGGTGAGTTTTCCTATTAAAGCATTATTTTTAATTGAATGCATAATTCAAGCTTGGTTGTCTAAATGCATTACATTTGGTTTTATAATAATACATATTACAATAGAATATATTATTAAACTTAATAATTCTTCTAGTTTTATATTTTCTCCTTCGCTTACTTTTTAATACATGTTGTAAGTCTACTACACAACTGTTTCAGTTCTATTAATGTTTGTGAAACATTTATTTATTATTAAAAATCCATTCTGTTTAGTTAGAAAAAGTGAAAAAAACAAAAAGACCAAGCAGAAAATATCGAAGAAAACCAAGAAATTTATTGGAAGAATATAACAGAAGACAGAAGAATCATATATGGCTAGAAACTCATATATGGTTTGCAAAACGTTTCAAAATGATTGAAATATGGGGCTACAAATTGGCATATCAGTCAAATGATAAATGTGTAAAAGCTCTTTATAGATCAACTATCAATCATGCACTTTTACAGGTAATCTTTATGATGTTATTATGACTTATTAATATTTTTGAAAAGAATTTAAAATATATTTTATATTAAAGGATATTTCATATTATGGATGCATAGAATTATCAGGAAAAGAAGAAATTCTTCTACAGCAATTATCACAATTAACAAATCCTGATTTAGGTAAATTTTAGAAAATTTTACATATTTTTAAATCATATAGATTTTTTGGAAAACAATTTGAAAAAAAATGATTTTTCATCTTTATTTATAAATAGAATAACTATTTTATTTAGAAGAAATAATTATAAACAAACTATTTGAATATTTTTGTATTAATGCTCATCTTCAGAAAAACAATTAAAAATCAAATAATTATAGTTTTATTACTATGGAAATAGAATAATGAATCATTGTATGAAAACATAAGTATAAAATAAAAATTAAACATAAATATAGTAGATCCACTGATTGTAATTACAGATAATATTATCAGTCATTTAATGTTAGTCATAAAATCATGTTTTATTAATATAATGTATATTATTTTTCATTATATAATTTTTCATATTTGTGTGTGACAGTTTTCTATGAATTTATTAGTTCTCCCATGTAGCAATTTTGGAATTTTGGCACCCTATCATCTTTGTGCCCTCAGCATGTACCCCCTGTGCCCCTGCCTTTTCATTGCCCTGCTTGTAGCTGCCGACCACAGGAGAGGCAATCCTTGCACTTGCCACTACATAGAATTAGTCCAAGAACAAACCAATCAGTGATTGCTTTGTTCTTATGTTTTGTTCATTTTTGCACCTATTTTCTGTTAGGGCCACACAATGCTGTTTTTTATTTTTTACCCCTAAATTCCTTTCACATAGAGAGCAAGGGCATTGTCACTTTGACTCCACTGTATATCAAAAACAAAGTCTTGGGTCTCTATTTTTTTACATTTAATTAAATGGAACCTCATTACATTTTGGAATTCCTCATCACAATTAATGGAAAATGGCAAAGTATCATCAAAATAAGCCCATTAAATTTTGAGAACAAACTCAATTCTATAAGTCCATAGAAGACATGCTAGCAACCTTGGGACATCACTTGATACATTCATGTGATATCACTTTGTCATGTGTGCTTATGTTATGTATGACCTTGTATCTCGAAAACATGGACCCCCATTTTTTATATCATTTTTGGTTTTCTCATTGCAATGAATGGAAAACAGCAATGTTTTATCAACATAAATTGATCAAATTTTGAAATTGAATACAATATTATAAGTGGAGAATTACTCCATCTCAAATATACTAATAAAAAAAAACTGTAATCAAAGTTCAGTTATTGTTGATATCTCCAGTTAAATAGGCATTTATAGGATGTCTTTTAGTGGTATCAGCTTCAATGTGCAACTGATAGATAATCATTATCATGTCTAAAGCATCAGAATTGATGCTTTAGACATTATTTGTTTACAATATTATTTAAATTGCTAGGATTTCTTACTTCAACTATAGACTAGCAGTTGTTAAAGATTGTACTACAAAAATAGCAAACAAAACATTAGTAATTACAGTTAATAAATTTATACAGTAATACTTTTTTTTTAGCTGTTTTAATTTCTTTTAATGTTAGAATATCCTAAATTATTTAATTAAAATGTACATGTACTCTTTGCTTTACAGTAGTTTAACTTATGATATTTTGACTTTAGAATAGTGCAATAGCAATGCATATTCAATAGTCATCAATCTTTGAATTTTGATCTCTCCCTAGGCTAGCAATATTCAGTTTGACACTTTTTACCAATGCCATGTGATGGCAGTTTCTGTCGAGCTTTTAGTTGCCACCTTGCTGGGAATATCTTTGGATTTTGAACATATGTCTTCAGATTTAATAATTATTTCTTCAGGCTTGTGAATTATATTATATAATTTAAAAATCGAATTTTCAATCTCAGAAATTTTATATGGAATTTATATTAAAAACACATATTAATATCAGTTGATATTCAACTTAAAGTATGTTCATAGGAGCATAACCCTATTGTAAGTTTATGAAAATCAATTATAGTAATTAAAATAGCAAATACATAACAAATGTTATAATAATATATATATTATTTCCATATGATAAAATCTTAAAAAGTAGTAGTAGTCATTTTTTCCATATTCACTAAAATTCGAACTACTTTGCTTTATTGGAGAACTCAAAACAGTAATAAAAATATCACCACAAATTTCAGAATACTCATGAATTAGCATTCATTTGAAGCATTTAGAATTGTTTTAAATTTGAAAATTTTATTCTGCTGATTTCAAAGATTATTTTAAATGTATATCTCTAATGATGAGGCTTGAAAACACTGAGGACTTTGTAATATTATTAGCATTATTGTTTTTTTGAGTTCTCCACCAAAGCAGAGTATAACTTAATTTAAAAATTTGGAGATATGTCTTAGTTTTAATACATTTTGTTGATAGGATTAACATTTGGATCAAAACTTTATCTTAATGGGAGTCGTGAAGGAACAGTTTTTCTGTTTCATCAAAATTCTTATCCATATGGAATCATTGGACCAGTAAAATTTTTTTGGAAACCTCAAATTAACTTTAAATCAAGTACAGAAGAAATGAGATATATATGGTTGTGGGTTCACCCTTCTTGTATCAAAGAGCTGATTGATGAATTAATAAATTTGTTTAATTTGCAACAAAAAATTCAAAATAATATATCTGAAGCCACTTGTGACAGTAAACGAAAATTATATTTTGAAAGAATTAGTATCTATAGTAGTAATGATATTACTTTGACTATATTAAAAGATGTACTTGTTCGCCATCGTTTGGTAGGACCACAATCACAATCTGTGATTACTAATTCCTTACAACAGACTTTAATAGATCCAGATCCAGAAGTTTCCAATGAAACTTCTAACTGGTGGGAAAATTTTCCAAAATCAAAAGTATTTATGGATTTACAAAAGATACAACAGTTTACATGGAAAAAATTAAACAATTCTTCTGTTAAATTGTTACCTGGAACAATTATTGGTACTACTGTAAAAGATCCAAGAGTTTCGTTACCTTCAAAGAAAGTTCCGAGTCATCTAAATGGTAAGTTTATTTACAAGACATTCTCCCTTATCTTTCATTATATGTTTAAATCTTTATCTCTATAAATGAAATAACGTCAAGAAACTTTTTAACTTTTAATAAACTTAATGTTATGCAGTCCATGTAAATAAAACTGCAAATGCAGCATAGCACCTGTGCCCCATTCAGTTCTTATTCTGTAAAAATCATTTAAAAAAGTGAATTCAAAAAAGTTTGTCTATTCAGTAACCTAATATAGAAAATAAATAATGCATTCTTAAAAATATTTTTTTTGAAAAGGTTCAAACAAATAGTTTAGAATTGCATTTTAGCAAAATGACTGGGTCAGTCCTTGGCAAGTGCTCATAAACCAATGGTCCACAGGCCATACTTTGAGAATCATTAACTTAAGTATTTTTAGTTGCAGTATTTAAATTATGTATACATATTAGAAGTTTCATAAAACTAGTAAAAAAGAAAAGTGCCTAAAAATATTCCTTTGTACAATTCCCAATGTTATAATATTGGGAATTTTAAAACAAGGAATATTCTAAAAAAGGAAAATATTATATACTCACATATGACATCAAAATATCATAAACTCTACAGATTGGAGTTGCTGTATAATATTCACTTGAAACCCTTGTGTGACTCCAATATATTGTGTGCATAGAAACAGACTAATGTTTTCAATCCTTCCCTTTTCGGATCTTCCTCAAGTCCTTTGTTAAATATGCCATAAAAAGAATATACATTTGGAACTTGTTAATATGTTTGTTTTGGATTTATAATCTTCCAATAAAAATTGAACCCAGGGAAGATCCAAAAAGGGAAGGATCGAAAGTGTGTGTCTCTTTTTACACACATGATATATTGGAGTTACACAAGGGTTCTCAAGTGGATATTGTATGACATCAAATATAGGTTATGGAGTAAATATGTTTTTTGATGTTAAGTTTATTTATTTGACAAATTGAATATGTGCAAATACTTTCAACATTTCAAAATGTCATCCTCAAAGAATATACAAAATTTCAATATCAATTCCTTTTTTTTTTTTTTCTTGTTTTTTAATTTTTACATTGACCAAACATACAAATGCATTCTAAACATAAATGCATAGTAAGTGTTAGAATTTTAACCTTTGCAAAAAATTTTTGTTTTAATTTTGAAACAAATATGGAGGATATTCACAACATATACAAAATGTAGTTAAATAAAATAAATAAAATGGAAAAATGTATAACCAAAATAAATACAGTATAGTAATAAGTAAAATAACATAAAAAACAAAATAAGGCTAAAAATCTTGTTATCAAAAATAATAAAAACATAAATTTAATGCTGAAAGACAGTATATTTCCTCCATAACAAATATTCTGTATTTTTTTGTGAAATATTAGAATTTTTTGAAGAAGATTGTGAATTATTACTCTTATCATGTTGGTGAAATGTGTCCTATTTAGTTAATCGGTGTCTAGTGCTGTGCAAGGTAAAGGAATAGGTACAGAAAAGCTGTTATTTTATTTATGTGTTAGGTATACAAGGTGGACCATTTTAATCAATCCAGTGGAATAATTTGAAAAATGCACATCCTACAAAAAATCATTAAATCATAAATGGTGGTTTTCTTCCTCATTTGTTAAACATTTCACCATTATTATAAACAGAGTTATGGAAGCTTCACATTCTGGTATTGGAATATGAGGAAGTTTGCTATAATAGTTGTTAAATGCATAATTCTTTACAGTTATCAATGTTATAAAAAAATGTAACACGATTAACAGAAAACTCATTCTATCATCTAGTGAGAGAAAATAAAATAAATTAAACATATTGCCTGACATACTAAGCAAAAATTGCTGACATCATTAGGGAATGTGCTGTTTGGTTTAACTGGAGAAACATCACATGACATTGCTCTCAAGTTGATTCTTCCCTTAGACTGTAATCAGAAGTTATGGACATTTGAAGTTTTATGTGACTGCCACTTCATGTACATGTGAATTTCACTGAAAAAAGGAAGAAAATGCTAGTAAAGTTATTAGGAAACTATTATTATTTGGTAAAATCATTTTTTTTTTTTTTGTTCAAATAATGAACTGATTCAAAATTAGTGTCACAGCAGTTAATCTAGCAAGCTTATGATAAAGAGAAGACAATCTTCATTCTAACAAATAATAATAGCTTACTAACAACTTTTCTAGCATTTTTCTTCCTTTTTCAGTGAAATTTACAGGCATCCACAGTTTCATGTGTGCACAAAGTGATGGCTGCATAAAACTTCAAATATCTATAACTTTTGATTATTGTAGCTTTCAAAAAAAATGCTTTAGATAAAAGTTTGTTTATTTTTATGTGAAATCAGAATATGCAATAAAAAATTGGGGTTCCCATTTAAGAAAATGAAGTTGATCCCATTTTCACCAACTATAGTGCCATCTATGGTGAAACCAATAGCCCCATCCTGTGGCCCCTTTGAAGTCTAGCATTTACGATTTAATGATTTTTTTTATAGGATGCATAGCTTTTGAGTTATTCCATTGGATTGATTAAAATGGACGACTCTGTACATCTGTGTATAAGAATTTTTTTATGTGATGTGTTTAGTATGGCTGCTTTGTATAATGTGATGTATACACTCTTGTTAAAGTTTAATGTTTCCAAACTTTTGTACAGGGTATGTGATATGATGCCTGTGCAAAAAAGAACTACATGTGCAATAAGTACTACAGTAGACCCCCCTATAACGCTTAGATACGTTCCACGCTAACCGAAAATTACGTTGTAGGAACGATTAAATACATGAGCCAATCACAGCCCGATAGGTGGGAACTTTACGGACTAAGGCTGTTCGAAAGGTTTTCTTCTATAAAATTAACCGATTCTAGACTATTTCGACTCAACATTTCCAAAACACGTATAATTTTTTGGGAGTAATCCGTATAAACTATGCTATAAACAAAAAATTATAGGATTACTTACCGAGTGTGTACCGTTCGACTACGCCCGTTGTTCAAAGCTTGTCTTCGTCGCGGAACAGCACACGAAACGGCGGCCGCGATATCTGATAAATAATTTATCGCAGAAAGATAACTTGACCTTTGGAGACATCATTAATATAAATAATTTTTATGGCCGTTGAATAAGAAGTGTTTCTTTCACAAGAAATGTATAAAATTAGTGCTGTATTAGACTTACGGTACCTAATTTACATACTGTGCAGACGATAATAAACTCAACTTACTAGCCTAAAATCTCCGTAGCGTGTTGCCAGGCGGCAGAAAGCATATATATAATTATAATAAAGTTACAATAAATTAAGTTAATATATAATTATATATACAGTACCTAATTTATATATAATTAATATATAATTATATGTACAGTACCTAATTTATATATAATTTATATATAATACTAAACAGACGATAGCAAACTCAATTTAGCCGCTCCGTAGCGTGGCGCAGGGTCGGAGGAAAGTAGTTCGGCTGCTCATCCACTATTGGTCCAGACTCTATCAATCTTGTCGCGAAACGACGTTATAGGAGGTACGTTATACGAAAGTTGCTACAATTTTTTCGCTACGTTATAGGAATTGTCGTTATAGGAACGTACGTTATAGGGGGGTCGACTGTATATCCATTCTCCACAGACACTATTTTGTGGGCAAGTTCTGAGTCTCTACTATTTTACAATGTGTGTATTTTGTATGTTATGATTGTTTGGTACAACTGTCTATGATGCATATGATTTTGTTTTGTTTATCAACAAACATGACGTCTAGTAGTTGGTTGTGATGGATTATTTTGTCTGTGATTATGGCATATTTTGTGTGTGTTGTTTTCTGTGATCTTCTGAAGTATATATTCATAGTATAATTGGTGGGTGTAACTAGTTTGTCTGCAAGCTTTTGATATATTATATTTGTTATTTGGTTATGTTGCTGAAAGTAGTTTTGGTAAAAGCTTGAAACCTGGTGTGATGTGTTGTATAATCTTGTGCATGATATGACATATACCACAAGTGTCTGTGAATGTTATGTCTTTTAAAATGTTCTTCCTAAAGTTTCTTGTATGAAAATCATGAACTCTTCTGTCTTCCAAAGAGGCATTTTTGAATTAGCCAGAAGTTTGACACAACCTGGCTGAGATCATTTGGATGCTTACTATAGTGTTCCTCTTGGATCCAAAATTGCTATATTTTGTGTTTTTAATGTCTTTTGTATACTGTGAATCCAGGTCAGTGTTGTGAAGATTTAATGGCATGTGTTTTGTCTGTGTAAGTGTTATAATTTATGTAATTGTGATGTTTATTGATTTTTGTAGTAAATATTTTACTGCACCTGTATTTGTTTGTAGTGAAGATTTAAAATATCTGTGAGATCTATCCTTTCTCTTTACAAGGAAGAGTCGGCCTTGAGCTTAGGTTATTGTTCATCATGTTTGCTTTTGGTGGAGTTTTAGTTTTGTGCATGTCCAATGAATAAGCTAGGATGATATATGTGTTGATTGCTTCAAATATGTGTTTAATTGCTGATTTGTGCATGTTGTATGATTTTGGCCTGTTGGAAACCTAAATATTTGTAGACTTTAAAATTTTTCCTTTAACATAATGATAATTTTTTTGGAACAATAAGAAAATGGAAAGTTTTAAATAAAACTATTTTTATATATTAGATGATTGCTGTAATGAAGAAATTGTTCCCACACCTGAACTTGCATATTCACATATTTGGGATTCATCTATTCGTGATGAAGTATCTTTCAAGAAAATTCCTCAAGCAAAGTTAAATGAAATGAGATCAAATAATTCTTTGAGTAAATTTAACTTTTATTATAATATATTAGTAAAATATGTTTAGTAATTTATAAATAAAATTGTCATTTTTTTATTATTAGATTTTAATACTACTTTAGAAGAACTGAGTAATAAATCCAGAATTCCACTCCTCATAATTTTTCAAAGTGGAAATGAAAATGGTAAGTTTAAACTGGTAAAAATAAAATTATAGAGATGTTTTATAATTGTAAAATTATTATAAAATTAAATTATAAATTATATTAATATTAAATAAGATGTTAATCCATTGCAATGTATAATCTAGTTTCAAATCAGATTCACATTCATTATAGATTGTATTCTGCAATAAACTTCTCAACAGAAGGCACAGCTAAAGAACTTACTAACACTTCCAATTTCTAACTTCCTGTTGTTGCTAGTCAATATTGTTGGAATCAAGTGTGTGAGTACTTCTAGAAAAATGTTTATTCTGTTTTGAGATAACAGGATATTTCTGTAATGGCTTAATTGTTTATATGTTGTACTAAAGAGTACAATTAAATCACCACAGAAGAATATTGTTATAAAAAGCATGCCAGATATTTTCAAAGACCCATGCTTGAAAATATTAGATGCATCATTGACTGCTCATGATCTACTATATAAAGATCATAAGTTTTAAGGGCTAGGGCTGAAACCTATACCAACTACAAAGGACAAAATACAATTAATTATTTAATAGCTGTAATAATACTTAAAGCTCAGACAAAAAACTAGCATAAGTAAACTGGAACTATATATTAAACAGAACAATTAACACCTAAATGCTAATTCCAGCACTGAATGAACAAAAAATTTTAATGCTCAAATGGTACATCATTTAAATATTTAAAAATTTGGAACACAGCTGTATTCGATGGTTAGAAGTTTTCAAATGATAGAACTGTTTTTTTTTTTTGTGTGTTTCATACATTCCTGAGGAGGGGCTCTAAAAGATGGCCGAAAACGTTCGAGCATTAAAATTTTTTGTTCATTCAGTGCTGGAATTAGCATTTAGATGTTAATTGTTCTGTTTAATACTTATAGCTATTAGAAATTTTGGATTAGACAAAAAAAATTCTGGATTTTTGTATTTTCTAGAGCAAGGAGGCATAATCCTTGCAAGTAGAGGATTTAATATAATAGATTTATTATCTGTAAGAGGAATTAATTTGCTTATTCCTCATTCTATATGAGGAAAAAGAAACAGCTGCATGGAAGAGAAATATTACTATCTAGGAAAATGGCATAAGTTAAAAGTTATGTGGAAAGAATAGTTAGTCAGTTAAAAACATTTAAGATTCTTTCAACAAAATTGCCAATTTCTTTACTGAAGAGAGTGAGGGATACAAATGTATCAACTATTGATAATATATTGGTAGTTTGCTGTGCCCTTTCAAATTTCAGAAGTGCAGTAATTCAATAATAAGTATTTTTATAAATTAAAACAATATAAAATTCTTTGTATACTTTAAAATGTGAAAATGAAATAAGATAAGACATGACATTAAAAACAATGAGATGATCTTTTAATAAATATTTATTCTTGTAAATTGTGAAGTTATGTAAATTCTTTACTAATAATAATATATTAAATAATAAACACAGATTTGTTTATTATTTAAGACAATATTTACATATCCAATTACTTTTGGGACTTCTTTTTAAACCAATATAACTGAAGTGAAATTATTTTTTTACATTATAAACAGATTGATATCTGTTTATAATGTAAAAAACAGATTGATATCATTCCTGCTTTTTCACCTTTACAACTGTAACTGAATTTAATATTTTGAAATCAATGTTAAGGTTATTTGAACATAATTCTGGAACAATATATGACACAAAAAATGATAACAAAGTATTTTTGATGTCATTCCAATAAATGCTATTAAAATTTAATTTATCAATTGCTATTTTTTTCTTAGTATAAACAACAAAAAATCCATGTTGTAATCTAGAAATACCCATTTCACCCTGAATTGTATATAATAATAATAATAATAATGAGAAGTTTTCAAATGCAAATCTTTCTCCAAATAAAAGTCTTTTTCTATAACAACTTTCTTAATTACTCTATTTTTTATATTTGAGGGACATTTTACTTTAACTACTGCTGAAGGACAACAATTATACTTAAATACAGCATCAGACATTCCTATAAAGTAATGTGTTTCATCCAATATTAGTCCTGACTGAGAAATGGAAGGAGACTCATGCTTTGGTGCTTCTGGAGCAAAAAATGCATCTAAAGCTTTCTATTTTCTTTCCTCCATTTAACAGATTTGTAGTGTACTTCTCAGTTTAAATTTTCAAGAATTTCTGCTATAATTGTTTATGCTCTAGTTTTACATTTCACAATCTTACAAAATTTTGAAGATGTCAGTCTGTCGTCTTCTGTTCATGCCATAGTAAATTGATTGGTTTCTGGTTGCTTGGTCTAAATATCATCTTCTTTCACTACTAACAGTTATACTTAAAAATTTATTCTTGCAGCTTTCATGGTTTTGCTCTCTTTTGTATTTTGTTCATTAATTCTATTAATGTATTAGGCATATTTTCTTTATCAATTTCTAATTTACCTTCTGAGCAGGTATCAGTTTCAGAGTGATTTTAATACTAATACAGAGGTGAAACTAATGCATCTGGTATAGTTTTCTAAATAAAAAAGTGAATATAAAAGTACTATTAGCATATCTATAGTATAACATGTAACATAATTTAAATGAAAATTGTTAATGAATAAATTGATTTTAAACTTAATACAAATAACTTGTAAAAAAGTGAATTTCACTTAATATTATTCAAAATAAATACAGTACTTGTCTTTAATATGTTTAAGATAGTTTGTGTTTGATCAACATTATCAAAATTTTTATTTTCATCATTAGGATGTGTCACACTTTCATTTTGTTGGCAAATATTAATCATTTATATTTTTAGGTGAACACTATAGAACAAACACTAAAAATATTTATAAATAAATAAATATGCATTTGTTAAATATATATTGTTTAGAATATATTTTTTTAAATTTTATATGTAAACAACAACTTTTTTTTTTCTTTAGTTTATTCCAAATACATAATTGTAATATATGGTACATAATAAGGATGCACCGATTAATCGGTAATCGGCTGTATTGGCCACTTAGCCGATTAATCGGTATCGGCCATTTCCCCAATTAATCGGTTTTGATAATCGGCCAATTTTACATTTTGGTATTTTTGTTAGAATGTTATGTACAATGCTAGTAATAACACCTAATAAATTTCTGTTATATACTTATTATTTATTACATGACAAACTGAATATTAAAAAAATTTTACAATTCAAATTATTTCTTTCATTGATACATATTAGTATAATATAACGTATAATACTGTATAAAGTTTAAACTTTAAATTAAAAAGAGAGTATTGAATATGTTAAGAAGAGAAATTAAATTTTTATTTGTTTTATAAGTTTAAACTTTAAACATATAAAACAAATAAAAATTTAATATTCAAACTGTAAAACCCTTAAATTGTAATGCAAAAACATGAGAATTTCACCATTTTCAGGGCATAACCTATTTTTTGCCGGCTCATAAATGTTACCTCCAGTGCTGAAAATTTTTTCACTTTCAATGGAAGATGCTGGGGCACTTAAATATTTCATAGCTATTTTGCTCAAATTAGGAAAAAGTTCTTTTAAACTTTTCCACCACAAAAATAGGTCACTATGTCTTTGTTTAAAGGGTAAATATAAATATGTTTCTAATTCTTGATCGAAACGTTTGTTCGTCTCTTTCGTTTTTTTTTTTTTTTTTTTAAAAACATGCTATTCTTCATTCTTTTGTTTACCAGAAGCTAATTCATCAAATAAATCAGAAAAACTTAGAAATTCACCTCCATCTTGATCACCTCCAGAAGTAGAAGCTTCAGAATTTAATTCTTATTGAGATTTCCTCTACCATATTTTCTTTTTGAAATTTCATTTTGAATCTAATAAAAATGACAAGCATAAAGACTTGTTTTCTATATATGCTGAAAATCTTTTTTTTTTGGTGGATTTTCTAGTTCGTCTGTTGTGGTATTAATGCCACTAAAGGAACTACTGATCTTTGCTTTTGATAAGAATAATTTCAGAGTCTCTATTGTGGGAATTATTGAAGATGAAGTGGCTTCTCGTTTGCTGGCTTTCCACAGTAATTTCTTTGAATGGTTTTACAAGTAGAACAATTTTTTCAACGAGAGACCACTGATATGGGCTCAACGTAGGAATTTTATTATCTATAGCATATGTGACAAGGGCCTTTTGCTGTTCCAACATGTAGTATGTAGAATTCCAGCGAGTAGGAACATCTTGAATTAATTTGTGTTTCTGCAAACCTAACTTTTCTTGCAAATCTTCCAATTTGATTACAGCTACAGCAGAATGATTAAAATGTGTGACAATATTTCTATTAACTGTGATTATAGTTTTCACATCTTGTTTAGAAAATATGCATTCGTTTAGTGTCAGCTGCAGCGTATGTATAAAGCATGATAATGCTTCTAAGTTGCAATTCCTAATTCCAGCTACCAGATTTGCTGCAGAATCTCTTAGTACTAAGAATATCTTATCACTTGTCAACTTATACTGTTCAAGAACAATTTTTAACTGTTCACTGATTCGTGTAGCTGTGTGGGAACCTTCAAAGGAAACAATTTGCAAAACAGCTCTTTCCTGCTGAAAATCATCCTTCAACCAGTGGGCTGTTACACTTAAAAAAGGAGAATTGTTTGTAGTTGCTGTCCAAATATCAGCGGTTAAAGAAATATATTTTGTTTCTGTTAAACACAGAAACACTTCAGCTTTTTAATATACAATGTCGAAGTTTCCATGCATCAACAATTAAGTGTTGAGATTTATTTTAGAAACAAAGGAAGAGATTGTTGATTTTGCGAGGACATTCGATCGTCTCTCTTGTTTACCTGACCTGAGGGAGATGGAAATACCAGGTGTAGAAAAATGGGTTTTTTTCCACATTATAATTAACTCTATAATTAACTCCAGGATCTCACACTATTAATGCAATAAATTATTAACACTACTCGGCCGATAATGCATGGCCAATTAATCGGTAATCGGCCATTTTGCTTATCGGTGCATCCTTAGTACATAATACTTTTCT